GAGGGCCCTTAGAACACAGGAGGTCAGAGCTGGGAGGGCCCTTAGAATACAGGATGTCAGAGCTGGAAGGGGCCTTAGAACACAGGAGGTCAGAACTGGAAGGGGCCTTAGAACCCAAAATGTCAGAGCTGGGAGGGACCTGACGCTTCATCTAGCCTTAGGGATCATCCCCTTTTACAGAGGAGTAAACTGAGGCCCAGAGAAGGGAAGCATCTTGCTTAAGGTAGTAAGTGGTGTCTTTTGAGGTATCCTAGAAGAGAGGGTGGTCTGTCTCCTGAAAATATTGGGTAGGAGTCTGGGCTGACTTGGGGAAGCCTGGGGCCCCTGGCGTAAGGCCCCATTCTGGGGTCCCCCAGCCCTCTCCCAGGACAAAGGGCTTCCATTGTACTGGGCTCCCCCTCCTTTCTCCACCTCTGCCTGCTCCCCACTCACACCCTAGACTGGCCAAACCTGTTCTGGAGATGGGGGATGGGGGGTGGCAGGCAGGTTGAAACAGCACAGCTTCCCCCTCCCCCTCTCCCTGCCTTCCCCACACACAATACCCCAGGCCCTGAACACAGGCACCCACAGCATCGGTTCAGAACCGTGGCAGGCCTGGGTCAACTCCCATCACCACTCCCATCCCCTTAGCCCAGTCCTGGGAGAGCCATCTCCGTCTTCCCCCTTGGGAGCCTGGGATGTGTTGAGATACCCAAGGGAGGTCCCAACAGCTTCCGCAGAGGACCGGAGCCAAGACAAGGTATGGTCCCTTCCCTAGGCCCAGTCCGGGCCTTCAAGCTCATCAGCTGGTTACAAGCCTCCCTCCTACCCCCATCTCGCTGGGAGCTGCTGCTTCTTCTGAGATGGACGTTCGGGCTCCCTGCCGCCCCACCTGCTCTCCCTGGATTCTCAGCCTCTGGCTTCTGTCTTTCTACCTCTTATGGTTGGCCCAAGTCCTTTTGTTCTGGGTGGGGAGGGTGAATTCTAGCAGGGATCCCCTTAGTTTGGGGCAGGTGGGTCAACAGGGGCCCCAAGGGCAGGGGAGGCTGTGCCAGGGAGGTGGAGTCAGGGGTGGAGCTGCAGAAGCAAAGGCTTCCAGGTGGCCTGCGGCAGCAGCTAAGCAGAGACAGTCCTGGGTTTGGGAGGCCCGAGGGATAAGACGGGAATCCTGAGCTAGGATGCAAGGGACCTGTCTTCTGGTGCTGCTCCTCTAACATTTTTTGTTGAAGGCTCCCCCCAACTGACATCCTGTGTTCTAAGGGCCCTCCCACCTCTGACATCCTGTGTTCTAAGGGCCCTCCCAGCTCTGACAGTCTGTGTTCTAAGGGCCCTCCCAGCTCTGACATCCTGTGTTCTAAGGG